ATGTCGAGTTGAAGGCCACAGCAAGTGTTTTCTTCTTTTCACGTAAAAGATTTTGCATAAATTCTGCTTCATATGAATATAAAAATAAGTCTGCTAAAAACGGAGCGCAATTTGTACCCAAGGGAATTCCAATAGATTGTTGGAATACCTGGTCTCCAAAAACCACAAAGATATTGTCAATCAGAAACTCAAGCATCTTCTTGATGTCAACTTCAGAGTACTTATGTGTGCAATCAGAAACTGTTTTAACAAAATAATCTTTCAAATGACCAATGACGAGGTAAGTAAACTGACGAGTTCCATTTTTGTTTAAGAAGCAGCTGTCAGTGATATCAAAAATCCTGGATTTTAATTTGTCATGGGGATTTGTTGTGTATACGCGGGTATGTTAAGGCAGCACATGGACCAGAATTCGGCGAATTAAGACTTTTTTATAATAAGGTTACACTAATAAATCGGAAAAGTCAAGCTTAAAACTTTTGTTATAATTATGCATTCTATAGACTTCAATGGGACTATTACTACATGAAGCACTTCACCACGACGTCACTACGTGACGTCTATAATTAGAAAATATGTCTTAATGAAAAAGTAAAAAGTTCAACACTACCTTGGGGATAATTCATTTCAATTTGTAGTAATAATTATGTTAAAACATCTATGTACCATGAAAAGTGCTGCTAGAATCCTACTCTCCTTACGTAAACCATACGATTCTAGCAGCACTTTTCAAAAACAATTGAATAAGAACTTTAGATAGAAACAAAAATTAAGTTTCAAAGTGTGCGGCGTAGTGTTGAACTTTTGCATCTTATTAGTAACGAACGACAAAGGAAAGGATGATCGGCAAGTAAACACCCTCCCTACTTTAATTCTACGAAGAAATTGTAAAAATATATTACCATACCTTATTCATAAGCTTTAATCCCACATGAATCACACATGATATTCATTCTAAAGCTTTTAAACTCCGTTTTCTTGTGTTTGTTTACATGAATTCTCGTTACGTTTCACTTTCACTCTGCTACTGCATGATCAACAGTTATGACGTCACGGATTTTGTATTTAACCCCTGTGATAACTACAGAAACCCAGAAACGACAAAATTCTGTTCGTATAATGCCTCTGCATATTTTGAATGATTTTTACGATCTCAAATCAATCTTATATATCGATAATAAGAAATTGTTATCTCAAAATTTCACGTCATATAGCTTACTATGACGTCATATAATATAGGCAAGTAGAATATTTGGTTGTAACCTCAACCTACCTGCGTAAAGTTGAAAAGTCGTAAGTTTTTATGGTGTTGATTTTTGTAAAGTCTTGTGATTTCAAATTGTCCAAAAGTTCTTTAGAATTTTTAAGTATCCACATCTGATTTACACCACTTCTTGAATATATAGTTGTGCAATACTCTTGAAGGTTTTCCTTCACTACTGTCAAAATTTTAGCGAAAAGTAACGAAAGAGGCTTGGTTGAACATTTACTGGAACTTTCAATGTATCTATGTTTGTAAGGATTCTTATGAAGGTTCGGAATCCAATATATATAAGGTAGTTCAAATTCATTTTGGCTCTGTGGAATATTAAAAGTATTCAAAACTGACAGGTGATTTTGAAGAATTTCTTCCTTAGAAAGAGAAGTTTATGTATTAGTAGGCTTACCACCAGTAGAATTAAATCCAAGTTCTTCTAGAATGCAATATATATAATGAGCCTTACAAACGAAGACAATGTTGTTACCTGCTTTGTCGGCAGGAACCAGTACGTACTGATCGTGTACTCTATCTAATTTTTTTTTCACTTCTGGTTTATTGAACACAGAAGGATAGATGGTTTTTATTTTGCCCCTCAATCTTTTAATACGTGACTTTAACATGGATCTGATACATTTAATCCATTCTGACAAGGTGTCAATGTCTTCTTTTTCATATCTAGCCCATCGTCTGGCGTAATTATCAACAGAATCCATAATATTTATGAAATTCCGACGCCAGTTGAAGGATCGGGGTTCCCTATACTTAGGACCTTTTAAAATAAGTGATCTAAGGTCCTCATTACGAACTATTTTTACGTCACCTGTAATAACGTGTCCAGCAGGACTATTGTTATAGGACGAAGAAGAACATGAACACGAAAGGGGATTATTTTTCAGATAGTCGATATCCAGGCCATGTAAAGTGTTTTTGTAATTGAAAAGTTTGGAAGCAATGGTCGATGTATATTTGTAGGAAATACAAGGCGTAGTCTTTAACTTGAAATATGGTGGAATACAAGACTGGACCCTTTTGTGATTAATATTACTTATATTAACCGCGTCAATTCCCTTATTGGCATATTGAAGTTTAATTAAGGAAAAGACGGATTGTTTTAGCTGCATTTTCTTCCGTGAAACGTGCGGGTTTAAAAAGCCTTTGATGTGCAATATCCATTATCACAGAACCGAGCCTATATTAAGGTGTCGAGGAATCTAAATTTGGATGTTCCTTGGTCTTTTCAAGAAGACTATTTAAAAGTTTCAAAGGGACAGGGTAAAGTTTGGTTCGAATATGATGTAGACCTAGCTGTTGATTTACATAAAGTAGTAATGAATCAAAAGAGACGTCGTGTATTGCAGGTTTATTGTACGAACGATGTCCATGACTATGCTTACGTCTCTGCGTATTGTTAAAAAGTCCCATTACATTTACATTATTACACTGCGGGCTTGTAAGATTTCCAACAATATCGACATTGTCATTACATCCATAGGGAAAGGCTGTCCCTAGTTTCCTAATCCAAAATTCTTCACGTTGTCTACGGAAAGGTGTACTCAACGACGGACTATTTGTGTGGTGATAAATCTTTTCCAGAATTCTAACTTTCATTGATAAAATAAAATGATCAGGTGAATTAAAATGTTTATATAAAAGCTACTGACCACCATGATTTATTTGAAATCGATTACCTGATATTCTTTTGTTAAGCAATCACTTGGTTTCACCGACATAAATAAGTCCACACACATTACATTCTATTCCATAGACAACATTAGAAGATTTGTAGTTCAGATTTTCCCAAGTTTTGGTATAGAAGCTCTGTCCAGTAAGATTACTGGTGAAAGAAGTGTCAGTTATCAAAATGAGAAGACGAATAGAAAGACTCATAGACCAACTCTTTTTTCTTATACATTTTATATAGCCGTCTTTAGCAATTTGAAAGAAGAACCCCACGAAAACCCACCCCCATCCTAAGGTAAACCCAATTTTTCAATGCTTTTATTTTGAATATCTTTGGTAAATATTTGTATGTCCAACTCCCACCACACTGGTACCGATGCCTATGTTATATGTACAGTAAAAAAAAATTCATAAGAGAGAAGGAATTTTCAAAGTAAAGAACAATCAAAATCGCTCACTTTCACATCCTAAAGCAACCCAATCACTGAAGAGTTATCAAACATGTTAAATTATTCATCATACCTAAGATTTGCAAGAATGTTGATCAAGCCATACACATTTTTTTTCAAAAGGAGTAACTTATGGTGGATTTTATCTCATTTTGAAAATAATTATGTTTTCAATGTGCGTTGATTTGATCTCAAATTTAACGCACTTTGAAAAAAATTTAAACAATTAAAGGAGATTCAAATCTCACTGTGGTACGTGGAAACTGGTTCTCCAGATGAGACCGTATAAACCGAGGTCCTATGTCGCGGTTGGTGCTGGCACGAAAAAGTTCCCTTCCTGCACAATAGCGCTGAGTACTGAGAACAGGACAACATTTGCAACTCTCCACCGGCAACTGGTAACGATTCAAATTGAAAAATTCTCGAGATCGACGAAAACAAAATACAATAATACATACTCAATGAAAAGCTTTGTCACAATAAACATACGCAAGTGAGTTAAGGCTAAATATGGATGCTTCTGTGCATATGAGCTAATTAAAATTCATTCGTTGTATATTTTATGTAGAGAGAAAGTTCAAATTTATTTTCTAACACAATATAAGTACCCACGGTTTATTAATGCAAATACACATTATGACGTCATTGTTCTCTCCCATTCAAGGAAATAAATCACATCAAAAACGTATGTCGATGCAAGGGCGTATCCTTTCTAATTTTAAATAAACAATGTACAATATAAGGTGGAATATAGATAAAATTAATAAAATTGATGCAGTAATCCTATAACTTTCTTAATCAATAAACATTTTAGGAAACTTACACTGAACTATGAATGTTTACCCTATTTAAACTTAAAACTGTACGAATAGTAATTAAATAATCGCAGTACGGATATTTGTGAAGCAATATCTTAAATTCTTGGAATATCCTTTCTACCTTCTTTCTGTAAAACAAAGTATGGTACATGTTTACCCCTGAGTCGAAGCTATTTTGTTGATGTTTCTTATTAGCTTGTGTAGTAGAGGTCGCTTACGTCATTATATGACGTCATTTTGTGTACGGGCTGTCACATGTCGTGGGTACCAATAATGTATTAGAAAAACAAGCATTAACATTTTCTGTGCGTTAGCTAGAGCAATTATGGAATTTAATTAGATATTTTGCATAGAAACCTCCATATGTAGCCTTTTTCCTTTGTGCATATTGAGGTATGAATGCCTTAGCTTTGACCATTCAAAAGTTATAGCAGCTATGGTTAACCTTTTGTTAAAACTGGGTAAAACGCAAAGGTCAAGGCCACATGGTCAAATTTGGGGGTACCGCAAAAAAGGTCCTCTAACAAGAAATACACATGTGGAATATGAAATCCATAGCCACACCCTTTTAAATGTCTTGGGCAAGGTAAACGTATCGCATTCAAAGAGATAAACAGATAAATTTAAAAAAAAATGTAGTGTCCCTATTAGATTAAAACTCATGAATACCATCTCCTTTCAAGTTCACCAATTTTAAGAAGGAGAATTAACGATCTCCTAACTTTGTAATGTCTCCGTTTAAAACTGCAAAAATATCAAATTGATAAATTAAGTCATTTTCATTTCAGAGTGTTAATTAAACAACAAGAACCCAAAGAATGGCCTCAGGACCAGACCCTGGCGGCCGATCTAGGTTTGCAAAGCTCGGAATGGCAATAAACGAAGAACTGACCCAGGCCTGTAGAGATGTCTTAGAAATGGAGGTACCTCCTGGTCTTGTCTATAGCAAAGTGAAAGCATCATCGATTTATAAAAACATACGCCATGAGCAAGAACTTCGTCTCATAGGCGCCAAAACAGATGGTTATAAAGAATTTGATATTACATTGTTATATACACTAATAAGAAATATATGTACAAAGATTCCTAGTCCAACAAAAAGTTGGGGAGGAAACACGATGCCGTCAGCAAGAGAAATAACAATCGGCGATGACGTTGAGAGGATACGATTGATAAGAAACAACATGTTTGGACACATAAGTTCGGCTTCTACCTCACTTTTAGACTTTGATGACACGTGGTCAATCATAACTGATATCTGCCAAAGGCTACAAACGTACACAAAGAAAGACTACATGTCTGGACTGAGTAATATTCAAAGTCAGGCTTTAGAAGAGGAGTACGAAACAACAGTCATAGAAAAACTTAGGGAAGAATACAAAAATAGCCAATCTCTAATGGAAAAAATATCTTCTGTGGAGCAGGATTTGCAAGAATTGAAAACAAAGTTCGAAAACAAAGGTGACTATAATAAATACAGTCATTAAAATATTTACAATATAAGATATATAGCGGAGATCAGTGTTTCTCAATATAATCATGTGGAATTTGTTTCCTTAAGATTTTTGCAGTTTGAACAAAAGTTTGCTTAGCAAAAATATTTCCATGATGCCCTACTAGACGTCGGAACTATGGTTCAAACAATATTGCAAAATGTTCAATTGATTGCAAAAACATCCGTCTTGTTATCGGTTAAAGAACGTAATCGTAATTTATGAATTCAATCTATGAGAGTTCGCGTTGTACACGAACTAAAAAAATTACAACCTGAATATGTATCATGTTGTTTTTACATGCCAGTGTTGAAACTGATGTATATGTCTCTGAGGAAGTAATGTAACACTTTCATATCCCTAGGCTACTGTAAAAGCCTAGTCTACCACTAGATATATGAGTCAGAAACCCCCAGTTGTTCACTTCATTTAATCTTGTTTTAACAAAATCATTCTATATTTATCTTATGCTATGTTCCCAATATCACGATTGGCGCCACGATTGATATCGGGGACTCGAACGTGAAAAATCGTAGTGCTCGTATCAACCCGATACAAATCTTGTGTTCACTCGCGACTATCGTATTGATTGTGAAATTTTATTTGACTATCAAAACTTTTTTCTACGATTAACACGATTAGATTTTAATCGTTATCATTGCATCAAATCCCACTACATAGTAACTAACCTCATCTGCATCGTACGTAAACGCATCAAATCTTGCTTTCATATCGTTATCATCGGGATCGACCTCGGAAAAGACAAACATCCCGCAGAATGGCAATTCGTTGCGATATCTCACGTCCTGTCACTATCTGTAACACTTCGCATGGCCCTACTGCTCATTTGCTGACACGGTGTTATCCCGCTTAGAGACGATTTGATACGGACGTATGAAAGTAAACGCATTAGACACGAGTGTTTACGCTTTGTTACGGACAACCAGGCTATATTACAAATACTTAAGCATGCAAAAATAACGAGAAAATTGAACACGTTTTTTTCCCAATTCAATTTAAAAAGTCCGAGTTTTGGAAAATATTTTTAAAATGCCACCTAAAACAGGTACAAAAAAGAAAGAAGGGAAATCATATCTTCTTCTGGACCCGAACCCGTTCGATCAGAGGCATTATCAGTGAAGAAAAGAAAAGAAAAAGAATAAACAGCTTTACTGCTGCTTTTGCTGTGCTTTGACTACAGTATGACCATAGTTACAATACAAACACCACGTTTTTGAAGTTGTCATCAACCTTTATTTCTGCCATTATTATTGATTGTATGTTTATGTTTTGTTCAATTTTTATAGAAAAAATATGATAGACCTAGTGTAGCCAAATATATGTCTGTCAGGGTACAATCGTATATCAAAGCTTGTTCTATCTGGATCCTGATCGTGAAAGACATTGCAATGAACGTGTTATTCTATAACACATTAGCCCAAGAGTGCACGATGGACGTACTATACCATACGAGAACGTATTAAAACGTGGGAGAACCTTTCTAATCGAGAACTTGGATCGTGATATTCGTCACAGATCGAGGTCCTTTTTCGACTAAATCTTGATAATCCTATAGGAACGTAATTCATCTTATCCGAACGGTAGTTAGATCGTCAGAGATCGGATCACATGAAATTTATCCATCGTGTGAATAGCGCATGAAAGCGTAACGAAACGTATGAAAAGGCCCCTATACACATCTCTTCGTATCTTTGTATAAAATTCAATAAAAACACTACGATTGATGTACCGTGAAGTGCGTAACTGACCGCACGACAGTGGGAACGTAGCATTATACGGTAAACATTCACATTGATGCAGTCAATAAATATGGTGGATATTAACTTGTATCAATGACTGCCCGTTTATCCATTTGTAATGTATATTTTTTGGATTTACTGGAGTGAAGAAAGTGCAATTTTATCATGTTGGCAAGTTAACTATTATTTTTCCAAGTGAATTCAAATTTACATCATGATAGGGCGATAAATTGCATTTCTGTCGATGTGAAACAATCAAATTTCTGTAAGATATCTAAAAAAAATTTGCTTTCAATGAAATTTGATGTTATTTTGTTTGCATTAAATAATAATCTCATTCTCATATTTTTTCTATGCTATGGCTTGAGCATCCTTTCCATTCATATTTTTGTTTGTACCTCATCTTAAACCACAATTTAAAGTCAGTACATACATTCGTTTCTATTTCCAAATCCTTTAAATTACCCACCTTTTTGTAGTTAATATATGTTGCACTTATTTAAGGAATAACTGTCTTATTTTTCGAATTCACGAAGTGATCAATGGATTGGCTTGTGTGATAATTTGCATAAACGCCGAATGCATAAAATTATCACACAAGCCAATCCATTGATCATCTTCATGAATTCAAAAAATCTGCAATATACATGCTTTGATTCCGCCAATCCACGGGCTCCAAGCCTGCTTCTCTCTAGGTGTTGTCCCTCCCTGCACGTGTTTTTTTTGGAACCGCGCCAAAACATTCATGATGAAATAAATTACATTAACAATTGGTAATTTTATCTCGGACAAAGACATTGTAAATGTAAATATAATATGTTTCAATACTAAATTCAGATTATTTTGATAAAACAATTTTAGTGGACAATTATATGGTTTTATAAAAAAAAAATGAATTACATTTTAATTTCATATATTCTGTTTTTTATTACACTTAATAATCTTAAAAGGATATATCTGTTACAGAAAACACTCTGGTAAAGGAAATTCTCGATAATTGGCGAGAAGACGATATTACCTTTATTTCTACAAGAGCTAGTGAAGTGGTTAAAGAAAAACTTGAAAGTCTTAACCTTATCACTGTGGTTGGAAATTCTGGGTCCGGAAAATCTGCAATAATTCAGCATATTGCACTTATTCTTAAAGAGCAGGGATGGAATGTCATACCGGTGGATAAGTTGGAAGAAGTTAAAAAGATCTGTTCATCTGGAGTCTCAGAAAATCGCATATTATTTGTATTCAATGATCCTTTAGGTAAGGAATCGTTAGATGAAGTTTTATATCACTCATGGAAAAGTTTAGAGAAAACACTGGAGATTTGCCTGAAGAAGAACAAGCTATTGATATCATGTAGAAGATGTATATTTTATGACAAAAGGGTCAAGGGTAACTTATTTGATGAATCCACTGCAGTAGAAATCGACAACAAAGAGAACGGACTGACTGTGAAAGAGAAAGAATCGATTTTTAATCAGTATTCAAAGAATCTGCATTTATCGGAAAAGGTTGTTATCGAAATAATCAAAACAGAAGCTTATTTTCCATTGCTTTGTAAGGTTTTTTCAAGGGAGGCAAACTACAATAAAAACGGTGTTGATTTTTTCAAACATCCGTACAGATTTATTAAAAAAGAAATTGAAATTTGGAAGAAAATAGACAAGAAAAGATTTTGCTCACTTATCTTGATTGTAGCTTTCAAAAACAATTTGAAAATTGATAGCATTGTAAGAAATGATATTTTTATGATGAAATATAAAAACATTTTGGGAATATGTGAGTTACATGAAAACACACATGTTTCAATCATTCGTAGTACTCTACATGAACTGAACCGCTCTTATGTCAAACGTGTCGGAAATGCTTTCCAATTCCTTCACGACTTTATTATGGAGATAACGACTCTGGTGTTTGGTGTGGATTGTCCACAAGAGACAATTCAGTACGCAGACAGCGGTTTTCTGAGACGTCGGGTGATGATAGAAGAAGATACAGAAAAGGAAGATCGCGATCCTTTCACTGTTTACCTTCCTGAAGAGTACGTTGATGATCTTGTAGACCGACTTATTTCTGATATTAAGACAGACAATGTTATCGATGTTCTTTTGAATCCCTGTCTTAGGAAAGAAAGCGTGATCAAATCTTTTAAGAAAAAGGTAGAATCGTTGGAAAAGTTTCCAGAGCTTCTTACAAATATGGAATGTAAGAGAAAAGGATCAGAATTTTTAAATGTATTTGAGAGCTTTGGTTTGTCAAGACTTGCATTCCTTGATTTAAAAGAAAAAACATGTCCTTTAATTGGATTAATTATATTTTGCCATAATGATATTTCCTCTTTCTGCTTAAACAGTATGCCACAAACAAAGTTAAAAGAATATCCAATATTTTCTGCTGTATGTGCCAACGTTGATTCAAATTTATTGAAATTCCTCAGCCTAGAATATAAAAAAGAAGCTGTGGATGAAATGTGGTATATATTCTTACCAATTCACATTGCATCTGTATTCCATAACTTTTCAATAATTGAAGAATTGGTTAGACTTAATGCTGACGTTAATAAATTAACCCCTTATTGTAGCATGACTCCATTAATTCTGGCAGCAGCAAACACTGAAGAACATTTGAAAGAGATTGGAAAGAAAGTAGAAGGAGACAGACGTAATAAAACCATTCTTTCCTTACTGAAAAACGGTGCCAAAATCAATATGTGTGGTATCGATGGTGTCACTCCTCTCTACATAGCTTGCCAAAATGGACATCAAAGCACTGTGCAACTTTTATTAACTAATAGCGCTGATATACATTTATGTGACAAAGATGGTAAAAGCCCCCTCTATGTAGCTTGTCGAAATGGGCATGACAATACAGTAAAGCTTTTACTAAACAACGGCTCTCAAATCAATTCATCGGACAATGATGGAATCAATCCCCTTTTTATAGCATGTCAGAACGGACATGACAGTACAGTGCAGCTTTTACTGAATAACGGTGCTAAAATAAATTCTTGTGACAACAACGGGAGAAGTCCTCTCTATATTGCTTGCCAAAATGGACATGACAACACTGTACATATTTTACTAAATAAGGGTGCTGAAATTAATTTATGTAACAGGAATGGATACACTCCTCTCCACATAGCTTGCTATAAAAGACATGAGAGTACAGTACAAATTTTACTGAAGAGAGGTGCTGAAATCAATTCTTGTGATAGAGATGGAAAAAGCGCCCTTTATACAGCTTGTTTCAATGGACTTGAGAGTATGGTCAAACTCTTACTGAACAACGGCGCCAAACTAAATGCATATGACAAGAACGGAATCACTCCCCTCTATCAAGCTTGTAACAATAAACATGAAAACACCGTACAACTTTTACTAGTCAATGGGGCCGACAGCAGTTTATGTACGAAAAATTCAGTCAGTCCACTCCAAATTGCTTCTTATAAGGGCTATGACAGCATGGTACATTATTTACTGACAAACGGCGCAAAAATCAATTTGAGTGATAATCATGGAGCGAGTCCTCTTTGGAAAGCTTGTCAGAATGGACATGAAAGAACGGTTATAATTCTTCTGAAAAACGGAGCTGATATCAGTATCAATCATGAAGATGGTTCGAATCCGCTTTCTATAGCGAGTGAAAATGGGTACCATAGCATTGTGCAACTTTTATTGAATAAAAGTCTTGATACCAACTTATGTGACAAGAATGGAAAAAGTCCCTTGTATAAAGCATGTATAAATGGACATTTCAATACAGTACACCTTTTACTAAACAATGGTGCAGACATCAACTTATGTAACAAGAATGGAGTCAGTCCTCTTTATATAGCTTGTAAAAATGGACATGATAGCACGGTACAACTGTTACTGAAAAACGGTGCCGACATCAATTTATGTAATAATGATGGATTTAGTCCCCTTTCTGTAGCATGTGAAAATGGACATGATAGCACGGTAAAACTTTTACTGCACAACGGTGCCGACATCAATTTATGTGATAGTGATGGAAAGAATTCTCTTTTTATAGCTTGTAAAAATGGACATGATAGCACGGTACAACTGTTACTTAATAACGGTGCCGACATCAATTTATGTGATAATGATGGATTTAGTCCCCTTTCTGTAGCATGTGAAAATGGACATGATAGCATAGTACAACTGTTACTAAACAACGGTGTCGACATCAATTTATTTAACAAGGATGCAGTCAATCCTCTTTATATGACTTGTCAAAATGGACATGATAGCATAGTGCAACTGTTACTGAACAACGGTGCCGACATCAATTTATGTAACAAGGATGGATGCAGTCCTCTTTTTATAGCTTGTCAAAAAAGACGTAATAGCACAGTACACGTATTACTGAACAACGGTGCCGACATTAATTTATGTGATTATGATGGATTCAGTCCTCTTTATATAGCATGTTATAATGGACATGATAGCACGGTACAATTCTTACTGAACATCGGTGCCGACATCAATTTAGTTTACAAGAATGGGATCAGTCCTCTTTATATAGCTTGTCAAAATGGACATGATAGCACGGTACAACTGTTACTAAACAACGATGCTGATATCGATTTATGTGAGAAGAATGGAACCAGTCCTCTTCATATAGCTTGTCTAAATGGACATGATAGCACGGTACAACTGTTACTAAACAACGATGCTGATATCAATTTATGTGATAATTTTGGAGTCGGACCACTGTGGAGAGCTTGTCAAAATGGACATAGTAGCACAGTTCAATTGTTACTTAACAACGGTGTTGATATCAATTTACGGAATAATGATGGAATCAATCCTCTCTGCATTGCTTGTCAAAATGGACAAGGCAGCATAGTACAACTATTACTAGAAAAAGGAGCCAACATTAATGTGTGTTATAATGATGCATTTAGTCCCCTTTATATTGCTTGCTTTAATGGGTGGAATACCACGGCACAACTGTTACTGAACAATGCTGCCGACATCGATTTATGTAACAAGGATGGGTTCAGTCCTCTTTATATAGCTTCTTATAATGGACATGATAGCACAGTACACCTGTTACTGAACAACGGTGCTGACATCAATTTATGTAACAAGAATGGAGTCAGTCCTCTTTATATAGCTTGTCAAAATGGACATGATAGCATAGTACAACTGTTACTGAACAACGGTGCCGACATTAATTTATGTAATAATGATGGATTCAGTCCCCTTTCTGTAGCATGTGAAAATAGACATGATAGCACTGTACAAATGTTACTAAACAACGGTGCCGACATCAATTTATTCAACAAGGATGCAGTCAGTCCTCTTTATGTGGCTTGTCAATATGGACATGATAGCATAATACAACTGATTCTGAACAACGGTGCCGACATTAATTTATGTAATAATGATGGATTCAGTCCCCTTTCTGTAGCATGTGGAAATGGACATGACAGAACGGTACAACTGTTACTGAACAACGGTGCCGACATCAATTTATGTAACAAGAATGGAGCCAGTCCTCTTTATATAGCTTGTTATAAAGGACATGATAGCACGGTACAACTATTACTGAACAACGGTGCCGATATCAATTTATGTAAGAAGAATGGAGCCAGTCCTCTTTATATAGCTTGTTATAATGGACATGATAGCACTGTACAACTATTACTGAACAACGGTGCAGACATCAATTTATGTCATAATGATGGATTCAGTCCTCTTTATTTAGCCTGTGAAAATGGACATAATAGCACTGTACAACTATTACTGAACAACAGTGCAGACATCAATTTATGTAACAAGAATGGAGCCAGTCCTCTTTATATTGCTTCTTATAATGGACATGATAGCACTGTACAACTATTACTGAACAACGGTGCAGACATCAATTTATGTAACAAGAATGGAGCCAGTTCTCTTTATATTGCTTCTTATAATGGACATAATAGCACTGTACAACTATTACTGAACAACGGTGCAGACATCAATTTATGTAATAATAATGGATTAAGTCCTCTTTATTCAGCCTGTGAAAATGGACATAATAGCACTGTACAACTATTACTGAACAACAGTGCAGACATCAATTTATGTACTAATAATGGATTCAGTCCTCTTTATTTAGCCTGTGAAAATGGACATAAAAGCACTGTACAACTATTACTGAACAACGGTGCAGACATCAATTTATGTGATGATGATGGATTCAGTCCTCTTTATTCAGCCTGTGTAAATAAACATGATAGCACTGTACAGCTGTTACTGAACAACGGTGCAGACATCAATTTATGTAACAAGTATAGAGCCAGTCCTCTTTATATTGCTTGTTATAATGGACATGATAGCACAGTACAGCTTTTACTCAACAACGGTGCAGACATCAATTTATGTGATAATGATGGATTCAGTCCTCTTTATTCAGCCTGTGAAAATGGACATGATAGCATTGTACAGCTGTTACTGAACAACGGTGCCGACATCAATTTATATAACAAGAATAGAGCCAGTCCTCTTTATATTGCTTGTTATAATGGACATGATAGCACAGTACAGCTTTTACTCAACAACGGTGCAGACATCAATTTATGTGATAATGATGGATTCAGTCCTCTTTATGTAGCCTGTGTAAATGGACATAAAAGCACTGTACAACTGGTACTGAACAACGGTGCAGACATCAATTTATGTAATAATGATGGATTCAGTCCTCTTCATATAGCCTGTCAAAATAGACATGATAGCACTATACAGCTGTTACTGAACAACGGTGCCGACATCAATTCATGTAACAAGAATAGAGTCAGTCCTCTTTATATTGCTTGTCATAATGGACATTATTGCACAGTACAGCTATTACTGAACAACAGTGCAGACATCAATTTATGTGATAATGATGGATTCAGTCCTCTTTATTCAGCCTGTGAAAATGGACATGATAGCATTGTACAGCTGTTACTGAACAACGGTGCCGACATCAATTTATATAACAAGAATAGAGCCAGTCCTCTTTATATTGCTTGTTATAATGGACATGATAGCACAGTACAGCTTTTACTCAACAACGGTGCAGACATCAATTTGTGTCATAATGATGGATTCAGTCCTCTTTATGTAGCCTGTGAAAATGGACATGATAGCACTGTACAACTGGTACTGAACAACGGTGCAGACATCAATTTATGTAATAATGATGGATTCAGTCCTCTTCATATAGCCTGTCAAAATAGACATGATAACACGGTACAACTGTTACTAAACAACGGTACCGACATCAATTTATGTAACAAGAATAGAGCCAGTGCTCTCTCTATTGCTTGTTATAATGGACATGATAGCACAGTACAGCTTTTACTGAACAACGGTGCAGACATCAATTTATGTCATAATGATGGATTCAGTCCTCTTTATTTAGCCTGTGAAAATGGACATGATAGAACGGTACAACTGTTACTGGACAACGGTGCCGACATCAATTTATGTGATACTGATGGAGCCAGTCCTCTTTGTATAGCTTGTTTTGATGGACATGATAGCACGGTTCAATTGTTACTGAACAACGGTGCCGACATCAATTTACGAGATAATGAAGGAGACAGTCCTTTATATATAGCTTGTCAAATTGGACATGATAGCACGGTACAACTGTTACTGAACAACGGTGCCGACGTTAATTTATGTACGAAGAATGGTCATCTTCATGTAGCTTATCCAACTGGACATGATAGCACGGCGCAACTATTACCGAACAACGGTGCTGACATCAATACATGTGAGAAGAATGGAACCAGTCCCCTTTAAATAGCATGTCAAAATGGATAGCACGGTACAACTGTTACTGAACAACGGTGCCAAAATCAATTTATGCGACAAGAATGAAGTGAGTCCTCTTAATATAGCTTCTGAGAATGGACATGATAGCACGGTACAACTGTTACTGAACATCGGTAGCGACATCAATTGATGTGATAAAGATGGAAACCGGTCTCTTTGCATAACTTGTGAAAATTCACATTGCATTACCATCGAACTTATATTTAATTCAGGTGCTGATGTAAATTTATGCACTAAAGGAATCTACAGTCTGCTGTTTTTGTAGCATGTTTCGATGGCAATGAAGGCATGGTTAAACTTTTAATGAACAATGGGGCAGACATCAATATATGTGACAATCAGGGAACCAGTCCCATCTCCATAGCCTGTGAAAACGGACATTACAGCACTGTCCACTTATTATTTCAAAACGATGCTTGTGTTAATTTATGCAATGAATACATGAGTCGGCTTTACATAGCATGCTTTTGTAGTCATGACAGTATTATTGAACTTCTACTACAAAATGGTGCTGAATTATTACATTGACGTTGGATTCAGTATACTTTTCTTTAAAGCTACCTAATACCAGTAGCGTTAAAATTTGTCTGGCATATGGAGCAAAAACCCCATTATGGCTTTTAAGTAGGCTGAAAAAATGAGCATGCTGCTTTCATAGAGAAATTATTCCATAGGAGAGGAGGAAAACCCTGTTATGGTCTTCAGTTTGACATTTAGACGTATCGTTTCCGCAAAATAAATAAACAAAAGTAATTTTCATCCATATATCAACTCGATATATCTTAGTGAGTCTGAAATAAATGGCACCAAACAAACTGTTACTTCCGTTCCATACTTGAATTTTTAGCTGGTTATAAGCGATGATGGTCAACTAACAACTTAACCATGAAACAAATTGGAGAACTATAGCCTCCCAATTGTCAACATCCCTTATTTTTGCATATTTATGCATTCATATTTCGCAAACACTTGTAGAAAACGTTAACGTCTTGCAAGGTATTCAATATATAAAAGCTTTCTTCAATTTCAACCAATATTTAAACCGAGGCAGGCTTCTGACAGTTGAATTGATGATGCAGGGATTTCACTCTTCAAGTCAGCATTTCGTCAAAGTCTGTTGTGGTTTTATTGACATTGTAAGGATCTATATTATATTATTGTGTCTTACTTTGGCAGACATGTTTTATACCGAGTGATTGTTTTTTTTTTTTTTTTTTTTTTTTTTGTTAATTTGACAGAAAATGTTTCCACTTTCTATCTGATCGATGCATATGTCTCACGGCCTGTATGACGTATCAAAGGGGGATGTTTTCGTCTCTATGACATCCGATTCCACATTTGATGATCTCAGGGTTCGTCTTTTATGCCCTGTTCACAGATAGGTAGTTTAATTGAAAAAAAAAAAAAAAAAAAAAAACCTTGATTAATTCCAAAATATTCTTGGGCAAAATAATTTTGCGAGATGGAAACTAATGTATTTTAAAGCAAGATGGATACATTACATTTCAAAGTAAATTTTGTGTAATTGTTCTATGTCATATTTCATTATATGTTCATACGCGAAAATTAAATGTCTGCTGGTAGATGCAAATATAAAGTTCTCTTAAATAAAAAAAGTGATTTACAGTAAATCATTAAGTTATATCATTTAAAGTTCAAATCTTAATGAGTTGTCTTTTCATTGTACAATTTTTTTTTTAGATTAAGGTTGGATTTACAAAAAGTTCTGTCTCTTGAAATATGTTATGTCAAGAGACCAAACTGTTAATTTTGCATTAATTTTGTTTGTCTGATTTGCTTTATAGTGCTTTGTTTTATATTATGCATTGTTTATTGTAATTCAGGAGAATGTATTCCCTTTTTTAAGAAAGGAAGAAGGAAGGAATGTTGAAAATATATTTGTTGTGCAAAATTGTCTTTATAACATCGAAAATTATAGCACGAGTTACAATTGAATTTCAAATTTTAAAATTATGCAATAAATGTGGCATAAGTTATTGTGAAATATGACAATCTTGTTTGTGTTTGATGTAATAGTACATGTAAATATATTATTTGATACAGTTTTATATTATATTATATTGTGTGTCTATGTGTCTGAAATTATAATCTATCAAATTAAATGAAATGACTTATTTTTTCCTGCTAGATCATCATTTATACACTGCATTGTCGTGTTTGATTTTTCCGTTTTTTCCTGAACCTTTCAATAAGCACACGCCGGGAGTGACCAGTCGGCATGTGATGCTAATTGATGGTAGCTGATTATACATGAACTTCTGATGATTTTGGATGTGTTTGCTCTGCTACTATACTGTAACATGTGTAATGGAATTTTGAGCTTGAATAATGTTCATTACCTCCATATTTTTAATTCGATTGTGTAATCAAACAACCCATATAATTATGGACTAGAGAGCGTGAAACTAATGCTAAAAGAATTGCTTTCATTATATTGAGCAGTCATTATAACTTACAAGATTTTGTTTTAACCTAAAAATAAATTTAGAGAAGTTCAGGAAGTGTTTAAAATATATTTGACCTGGAAGCAGAAGAAAAATAGAGAATATAATTTAAAGTTGTTTATTTAAGTCATTTTCATGTATCATGACACATAGAATAGATTGGTTTGTAAAGGAAAGTTTTAATTGCAAAGCCCATTGAAAAATTATGGAGTTCCATTTAGTATCATCGTTAGCCTGGATATCTTTGTTTGGGCGTGGCATTGCAGTATTAACATTGCAATCAAATCTTAAATATGAAATGTTTTCTCTATAAAATATCAATGTTTTTAAAAAATAAAAAACACTAGATAAACATGTTTAAACAAGGCATTTTGCGGAAACCAATAAAGTTATTTCGACGCAGATTTGATGTAAATATTTTTTTTATTTTTACAATTTTTTTGTATAATATCATGATTTGTTGTAATAGCATTTCGCTTGGTAACAAAAAAAAAATGAACTTATTCTATCTGGATATTATTAAAACTACGACTTTTGGGACGTGTTTGATTGACACTTGCACTAACCAAACTTTATTCATGATATGTAAGACAGATAGAAATGCTGTTGTGTATTAATAAAATATATTCAAACTCTAATTCAGAAAATTCAAAATAACGTTAAAAATGAATAAGTGCATTGGAAATACATTTTTGTTAAATAAATTAAAATTGTTCAAAATCTGGAGTTCTTTGTATATTTATGTGCATTGGAAATACAATTTTAACAATTAATTTTTTTTTTCATGCTCCCTTTCGAAGAAGGGAAGGCATATTGCTTTGCTGCTGTCTGTCTGTCCACCAACAGTTGCCGTTCTGTTTCTTCATAGAGGTTGCTCTTACGGAGATTGAATTTGGTAAACAGATTTATCACAAGCACACCGAAGTCAAGTCTTGTTTTGAGTACATTGCGCTTTCGACCAATTCTTGAGAGAATAATTCCTCTTGGACTTAGAAAAATTTCCAATTATTAGCAGTGTCCGTTCCTTTTCCTCTCAAAAGTTGCACATACTGAGTGAAATTTGTAACAAAGATTTACCATAAGAATATAAAGATCATGGCTTGTTTGGGTAAGGTCTTTTTCAGAGTTATGTCCCTTTGACCTATGAATATTTTAATTATTTGCAGTTTACCTTTATTTCTTTTCATTTCTTTTAAAGAGTATGCACATGATAAAATGAGATTTTGGTGTACAATGTACACATTTATCATAACAACATGTCGATCAAGTTCTCTTTTACGTACGAACTAGAAATTACTGACAGAATCATGCCTCTTGGATTTAGAAAAATACAAATTTTGTTGCGGGGATTTTACTGATTTATAAACATTTCTTGTTTTTTTTAGAATTTTGTATGTGCAGATTGTAATTTGTATATCAAATCGGTAGACAGTTCGATATTTAGATATCCAATTTAACAAAACTTATAAAAAAAAATGCTAATTTTCTGAATCATTAAGGATATTGTTAAAATTTCTGAAGGTGCAAGGATGTGTTAATCAAACGCGTCCTTAAAATTCGTAGATCAAAATAATTTCCAGGAACTACGGAAGCGTAGTAGTATTATTTGAAACTTCACTTTTTTTTAATTTCTACACTTTAATATGTAAATTTTACACTTTAATCTGTAAAATTTACACTTTAATCTGTAAATTTTACACTCTAATCTGTAAATTTTACACTTTAATCTGTAAATTTTACACTTTAATCTGTAATTTTTACACTTAAATCTGTAAATTTTACACTTTAAAGTGTAAATTTTATACTTTACTCTGTAAATTTTACACTTTAATCTGTAAATTTTACATTTTAAAGTGTAAATTATACACTTTTAAGTGTAAATTTTACACTTTAAAGTGTAAATTTTACACTTTAATCTGTAAATTTTACACTTTAAAGTGTAAATTTTACAGTTTAATCTCTAAATTTTACACTTTAATCTCTAAATTTTACAGATTAAAGTGTAAATTTTACACTTTAAAGTGTAAATTTTACACTTTAAAGTGTAAATTTTACACATTAATCTGTAAATTTTACACTTTAATCTGTAAATTTTACACTTCAATCTGTAAAATTTACACTTTAATCTTGCAAGATAATATTTAATTCTGATTTTTCTCTTTTACAATAAATGCAAATGATAAGCAAATTAGTGTTACTGATACAAGTGAAACTTTTCTTAGAATATAAATGAAGAGCATATCAAACAAATGCAAACATGTGCTTGTTCTAGATGAATGTGATATTGATATCAAAGTATGTTTATATTATGTTTATAATTTGGAACAGCAATGAATTTTATATATATATTTATTAAATGACTTTTCTTTGATGCTACGTTAAAAAAATGACCGTAATTTTCATACTGACCATAGAACCATATACTTGTAATTTCAAACTCAACTGCAAATTAAAAAATCTTTGAGACATTGATTTTTACTGTTAATTAAACTGTTCATGTAC